AGCTGGAGGTCTGCGTTAGATTAATACATTGTTGTAGTGGCAAGATCCGATATAACATGGTTTGGTCTAGCGATTATTGTACAGTAGTTCACTGGTGTTGAACATGTCAGACAAACTAGGGCGGCCTATCAGTAATGGTGAGCAGCTAACGAGGCTCCACATCCAGTTGTTGGCCATTGCATGGAGTGTTAGAGAGCGTATTCCAAGCTAATCATTAATCAATGGTTGGCGAACCATACATTTACTACACCCATATGGCCTGTAGGCGATGATAGCATTGAATGATAAACGGTGCCCAGTAATGATGTTAACGAAGAAAACATTAATCATCTCGCTGTAGGTGTATTTCCTTAGTCAGGATAGTAATCCCGCGTGGAAGTTGTCCTTGCCCACTCAGAAGGATTCACACATCAAGGAGTTAAACGCCTGAATGACAGTATTCTGGTATATGTCTGGGCCATATATAAAGTGAATGCGCATGCGAGTACACGCACCCTCCACAGTGCTTTGTCAAGTGGAAGATGCCATAGACGCTCCATAGATTGCTCAACAACCATCAAATGATACCAATCTACAGTATGTTAGCTCCAAAGTAGATTTCGTCATTGCGATGAGATTATATGTGGCTCCAAGCGACACGTGCAGACTAAACCCTGGGTGTAAATACATCCATAAACATCATACCAAACACCACTTCTCCCTGTACTTTTATTGAACCAGCCTGCTGTTTTGAGAGCAGCATCAACAGCTAGGCGACACAGCCCATTTGAGACATAAGACTCACCCATATTCCAGGTTTTGTAAACCTCTTCCATTTTGTATCTTGATTTCTCATTTTCAATAACCCGAATATGATTGACCAAACTAGCAGATACTGGTCTGCTTCCCAACCTCACTTTTCTTTGTGAATTGAGCTCTGGCCATGACAACGCCTGTTTATTTTCAATGTCAATGTGAAATTAATGGGCATGTCTGTAAAATTGCCAGCAAAGTTAGGATGATAACGTCGAAATTTATGTGGCAAGTCAGCAAAGTTGCGTGAAAAGGTGAAAAATTCACGTTGATATGCAATGTTTTTAAGTGTTCGCGGAAAGTCTTTACTGCAACATGGCAAGTCCGCTGCGTACAAAATTCTAAACTTGAAAATATGCGTTGCTCCGTGCATAGTGGCTAGCATAGTTGGTAAAGTTATGTGATAAAATTACGTTGACAGTCTGCAAAGTTGCGTGCATAGTTGATAAAGTTTGATGAAGAAGCCAACAAAGTTGTGTGGAAAGTTGGTAAAGTTACGTGAAAAGTTAATATTCCTACTTGAATAGTTCACTAAACGTGTGCAAAGTTGGTAAAATTGAAAAGATGCCCGGAAAATTAGTAAATTATTGTAGAGATCCTCCATGGTTGCGTGCAAAGTATGTGAAATGACAGGAAAGT